TGGTGTGATGTTTGGCATGAGGGCTGGATTAAGTGTAGCCAGGTGAACTCATGATCGGTGAATTAAGGATCATTCAAGTGCAGATTTTGTGAATATGTATAACAGTCTGTCATCATCAGTTCATCTTGTTATTTTCTCGATTCATTGTCACAGTCTGTGAAACATCACAAAATGGTGAAAAACACTCATCACAACTTCCCATAGCCCAAGGCCCTGTACTTAAATCACTCGTTTTATCCAACCAACAGTCCAGAATCCAAAAATATTACATTTTCCGTCATATATGATACAAGCAAGCAGAAACTCTTCATATTTGACAAGCTGGAACCAGAGTAAAGCTAATATTTGCCACTTTTGCTTGAAAAATGACTAAAATGATTAGTCATTAAAATGATGAGCCTGGTATCTCTGATATCCAATTGCTACAATTTCCTGCTGTAAGCATTCAACAAATATTACAACACATGAGGCGTTTTGGGGCATGTGCACATGCATCATTTAAAAGGATTCCCCACACAGAAGCATCCTGCTGCTGTGAATGAGCCTCCTCTCTTCAGGGCTGCTGTTGTAATTCATTTATTCTTACTGTCTTTTCTCATTCCACCAGACATGCTTGGAGTTGGAGCGCTATCTACAGAGCGAGCCTTACGTCTCCACATCCGACCTCAAGTTCGACGGGCAGGAGGACCTCTGGAGCAAGTTAATCCTGGCCTGCGGGGACAAGGCCAAGGCCGAGTCCGACCCAAAGCTGCCCGCGGCCCACGAGGAGGACAATCAGGACAGCCAAATCTTGGACACCAACAGTGTGAATTCTGACGCCAGCAGCGAAGCTTCAGACAGTTCTGAGGAGCTCTCGCCCACACACAGCTTTACCTCCAACCCTCTGGGCTCCGTGTTGGTTGGCTCTGGACCTTTTAGCCCCTCCATCATTAGCACTCCCCCGTCCTCTCCGGAGGCCAACTCGGAGGCCGGCGCCGTGACGAACGGCTGGGTCGCCGCGCACGCCGCGTTGCACTTGCCGGTCAAAATCAGGAACACCGGGGTGGCAAAGAGCACGGAAAAGACGGGACTCATCTGCGGGGACGCGTCCCCAGATGGCAGGAGGCGAGTGCACAGGTGTCACTTCAACGGGTGTCGTAAGGTTTACACGAAGAGCTCCCACCTAAAAGCACACCAGCGCACTCATACAGGTGAGTAATCAGAACCCAGACTGCTTATGTCATGACTGTGTGTGATGCATGGAAACAGAAAACTAAAGGGAGGGGTTGGGGGGAGGCGGGGGGTCTTCTCTGCTGTTTTCATTTCATTCATAGAGTTAAAAAAAATCTCAGTTCAGTCTTCTTCCTCGATGGCACTGTCCATCCATTGTGTAATGTAATTAAAGGCCCACATTGCATGATGTCCTCAGCTGGGGCGCTGTGAGTATTAGCTCTGCATGGCTGGATACCTAAACTGTGACCTAATCTATCTGGAATGTGACTGACTGAGCCAGTGAGTGAGCAAGCAACAGAGAGAGAGAGAGGGAGGAGGCAGGCAGGGGGGAGGGGTTGCACATGGGAGATAAAAGGACTTCAAAACAGATTGAGTTTCACCATGGGAAAGGGGTGAATGGGCGGGGAGCCAGGGCGCACTGGGTTGAAAGGCCTTTGAATGGTCATTTGAGCCTTTCTTATTTTTGATTAGCAGTGTGAAATTGCACGTGTAGCTTTTTTCATGTTATATTTTATTTATATACTGCTCGTATTCAGCTGCACAGCATCGCTCTTAGCATTCTTAGCATGTTTGGGCTCGCGTCCCAACACACATCCAGTGGTCCAACAGGTTCAGTGGAATCTGGGTCCCCAGCACCCATGTCAACCGGCCTGTCCCCCCTGGCTGATTGATTTGAATGTATTTAAATGACAACAGCGCGGAGCCGACCAATCGGCGCCCGAGCAGGAGAACATTCCTTTTGTGTCCAAAAGTGAGCTGAATTAATGGTCCCCTTGTTTGCTCTGCAGGTGAGAAACCGTACAGGTGTTCATGGGAGGGCTGCGAGTGGCGTTTTGCACGGAGCGACGAGTTGACCAGACACTTCAGGAAGCACACTGGGGCAAAGCCATTTAAATGCAGTCACTGTGACAGGTAAGACGGGACATTTATCAGCAAACAACGTCACCAGGCTTTTGATAAGCCTCTGTCCCTCTCACGCAGGGCTGAAGCATGTGCTGGTGACGTGAATTTCTGTTTATGTGATCTGCTTTTCTTGCACCATCCAGATAGTGATACAAGTCTTAAAAGATCGAAAGAAGTGATGCATTTTACTCAGGCAGCTAAATGTAGATTAAGGCTTTAAAATGTCCTGTTTGTAACATGTATCTTGATCCCAATCAAAAAGCATTTAAATTGAGGGATCTGAATGCAGAGCTTTTGTTAATGTTATGTGTTTTTGTTAAAAATAGGCCTCAACAACACAGTTATGGGTCGGCTGTACTAAAAATGATCAGCCTCTCAGTAGAAATTTGTCACTATGTGTGAATAACAGAAGCAACAAAGCATGTGTTCTATTGGCCGAATCACTCATTGTTCTCATCTTTTAAGGCATTCAAATTTTAAATTACTTTTTCCTGCAAAACTGTTGTTCCTGTTTCATTCATTCCCTAAAACACTCACCAGTGGTCCATTTATGCATTGTTACTGACTTCCTCCACCTCCTGTCTGTCCCCAGATGTTTCTCCAGGTCTGACCATCTGGCTCTTCACATGAAGAGGCACATCTAGAGCGGGGCCGAGCACCAACCAAGCAACGCAGAGAAGGGGAAAGTTTTAAAAGTAAAAAAAAAAAAACAAATGCCGTCTCCCGACCAGTCTCTTGGTTGAACTGTCCCAGAGCAGAGTGGCGGGAGTGTGTTCCAGCCAAAGCATGCCGTTTTGCACCATACTGAAACCCAGTGCCTCCGGGACCTCTCTTTGGAGAAAGGCGCTCTGAAGGTTGTCTGTTGCAACAAGAGGACAAAATCATGGATGGGGAAGAAGATCTTTTTGATTGAAAAGGAACTTACAACACACACAAAAAAGAAAAGACAAAAAAAAGATACACAAACAAAAAGAGTGAATGATTTGTATGTATGGTGCATGATGTTTTGGGGACATCTCCCGGGCAGCAGATACACTGGTACTTTACAAAACTGTCTGAGGTAAGCATGTGTGCACTGTGAATGTCTGAGATTGGCTGACTGGCCCCCCTGGAAAGAGAGAAGACATTTTTTTGGGGGAGAAGAGTTGGATTGGTGCGGGGCTGGTACCAATATTGCTGTGGACTGAATGGGTTTCTGGAGGAAACATTCCCACTTGCGTTTCCCCCGGTGGCAGTGTGAGGATGGGACAGGATGGAAGTTCCTGTGCCTGTCTGTCTGGCACCCAGACTGTGGGGGGGTTCTCCGAAGCGTTTGAGGCCTTGGGTTTGACCAGCGAGAGAGAAGGGCGAATGTGTCTTCTGGTCAGTGACCCAGGGACCAAAACTCCACCCCCCCCTCTGGTCACTGTATGACAGGAGCTTTTTTGGTGTTTTTGGTGCAGCTACTAAATGTGCAATGTGTTATGTAGCCTGGTTTATTATTTTTTTACAAGCTACAAAGCTCATTTGTAGTCCAATTGTATAAGCTGTGTGCTTAGAGGTATAACACAACTATACTATAACTTCAGTATCATAGACAGGTGTTGCATGGTTCTAGGGTTTGTTCATTTCAAGTTTCCACTGTAATCAGGACTGCAAATAGTTTCAATAAAAGTGCAGCTAAAGTGCGAACGGTTAAATGTTACAATATTGTACATAAAGCCTTGATGATTTCCTCTCTTATTTTTACAACTTCATGCGTTTCCTTCATCCTGGTTTCTCATCTGGCTGGAGATTTCACCACTGCTTGCTCATTTTCCCATTCATCCTATGCCTTGAGGAGTAATTTTGATTTTTGTACTTTGTTTTCTATCTAATAGTGCACTGTTGACCTTAATGGTGCCTTATGCAAGTGACTCAGCCCAGTGGCGGCAGCGGTTTTGCTCCCTCGGGGAGTCACATTTGTTGTATGGGTGATTTGACAAGCTTGATCAAGGCTCAATTACGAATGAACTCTTTGTGTTTAATGGCGGCTGTCCGCGTGTTGTTAAAATGTTAATGTACAGAAAAGTACCTTTTTCTCTCTTCTTGTTTTTGAATCAGAGCACCAGTTTATCTGATGCACATCACATTCAATTAAGTCGGAATGTTTAAACAAATGCTGTATGTTTAGAGCACTTAAATTCATTTATTAAAGACGTTAACTACTGTGTAGTATGTACTCGAGTCCATCACACACAGCTCTAAGGTACCAGACTACGTTAACAAAAATGCGGCTTTTATGTGTCGTTCATTCAGTGCTGCTCCTTTTCCTCGTATCCCTCCCCGCCATCACCGACAACCCATCCTCTCCTCCCTGTCCCCCTCTGTCCCTCCGTCCCTGCAAGTGGGACTGAAGAAAGACCTAAAGATTTATTGTAATTAACAGGCTGCAGTCGGACAGGCCTCGCCTTGTACTGCCTCTCAGTAATGAATTGCTAAAGGCTTTGTTGGCATGGAATCTGTCACAGACTGCTGACTGTGTAGGTTGGTTATTGACCTGTCTGGGGGAGCGTTGTTTTAGCCAAGCTGCAACAGTATTATGAAAACCACAGGAGCGAGTGGGGGGGCGGGGGCTGGGGCTCTCGGGAGGAGATCCAGATCAAGCACTGACGGTGCACATGGAAATTTGTCAAAAGCCCATGACAGCATCTCCCTTAAAGGTGAATGTGCATCGGCCATTTGGTTGGCGGTGCAGGAAGATGGCTACAAAGAGTGGAGGCGATAATAATAGTAGAGATTATACTTGCTACTGTTTCGGTATAAGGTGATCTATACCTCCCACTCCAGATCAGCGACCTTGCTGTAGGAATTCGATGTTGCAGCAAGTTGCACGGCGGCATGCTACGACTTATGGATTTCAGATCAGCGGGTGAAAGAGACAGGATGAGTACAAACTTGAAACTGCTTGCTGCAATAGATCTGGGAGTGCTGGCAGTGCCTTTTGTGGGCAAAAGGAAAGGGAACATCCATTCTGTGAAAACGGCAGCCAATACTGTTCAAGTGGTAATTGAGCCTTGATTAGGCACCATGTTTGCTTGCATCTTTTACACTTTTAATCATCTCTTTCATCCCACTTTCCCAACTCTTTCTGTCTCACACACACACACACACAGCTGTTTGTTCTCAACTGAATCTTTGTATAAAAAGAAAAAAAAACAACTTTTGTAAAATTGTTATGTTTATGCTTTATGAAATTTTTATTTGAAATTGTTTTGCAAAATTGTTATATTTCTGTATGAATGTATTTTTTATTGGAATAATAAGAAGTTCTTATCTGACTTTGGCTTGCTTCCTTTGTCTCATTCGTTGATTCTCCTCAGTTATGCTTCATTACTGTGAAAGCTTTTTTTTTTTTCTTTTGCCCGTGGGAGGTTTGCAGCTTGTTGAGGAAGAATGGCTGCATTTCACCCTCACCCTGCCCTCCAGTGATATGGACACAATTAGATTAGGGTCAGGGTGGGAGCACCAGGGGTACATAACCATCATTTCCAATTTGTCGCTTAAAAATATGAACTAAAAACATGAATGTTTTCCAAACAGTGGAACCTGCTGCTGCGTGAAGCCGTAAACAGCCTCACCTCTTCCTGTCTTGTAAATACCAGTATGAAAATGTCTCTCTCAAATGAGCAAATTATATCTTTGGAGCGACTGGCTGCTGAACACAGAAACCTGACACACCTCGCTCCCAGTGGCAAACATTCAGATTTAGCTTTTTCTTCCCCTGAACACCCCCCTAGAAAAGTTTCTGTAAAATCTCACTGCAGTGCTTTCAATTCTAAGAGCGTCTGACTGCTCGCTCCTTAGAGCTAGCTAGCTCTCATCAAAGCAGTATAAATAATTTATCTCCATCTCTTACAGCCCATGGCATTTAATTAGAGAGCCGCTTTTATACATTTGTTAGATAATTACTCTACTTGACACAGATAATGATACAAAACAGCAGTGGATAAACCAAAGAGCCTGGTTTAAGTTACAAACTAACAAGAAAATATGATTTTAAAAATACCGACAGCCTTCTTGTTCTCTGCTTCCCTGCTTACGGTGATGACCTAGAATGGGCAGGCAACTTATTAGTGCCTCTGATTTCCAGTAAAAGCTCTGAGGTTTATAAATGAAGCTTTGCCTGCAGTTGGTAATTAAGCTCACTTTTGAGAACCTCCCAGCTTTGGAGTGGCAGAGAGAGTTGTTTTTGCCTCAAATTCTGCAGCTCCTTGATCTCTCAACACTGCTGCCCCACCAGATTCCTCAACTTCAAATCTACCTATGATGCATAATGCATGGCCAGAGCGACCAGCAAAGCAGCGTTCACAGGACAAACTACTCACTTGACCTGCACATA